CTCCCATTTCAAAACAGATCAACACCCTTGGCAGTTGAGGCCATAGACGGTAGACCATTATCAATCCCTTTTATCACACAAGAGACTCTTCCAGTGGTATTGTCCGTAGGTTCCCTGCATAAGGAGGTTATAATCCTGCAACAGGTCACTTCTCCCATCTTTCCTGTTATTCTTGGCTTTCCTTGGCTCTCTAAACATGACCCTTCTATAGATTGGGAGAAAAAAGAAATTGTAAAATAGAGTGAGACTTGCCGCAGAAAATGTATTACCCCTATTAAACACGTAGGTTTACTTAATGAACCTACTATGGAACCTTTAACCACTCAGATACCCAGACAATATTGGGGTCTGAAAGCAGTTTTTGAACCACGAGAGGCAGAAAAATTACCTCCACACCGGTCCTATGACTGTCCCATTGACTTATTACCCGGCACTATGCCCCCTAGAGGCACGGTTTACCCCCTCTCGGTAGCCGAGAATAAGGTACTAGAAGAATATATCATGGAAAACTTAAGAAAGGGATTTATTACTAAATCTTCCTCCCCAGCTGGTGCTGGGTTTTTTTTTTGCTTCCAAGAAGGAAAGGGACTTAAGGCCCTGTATCGATTATCGGCGTTTAAACAAAATAACTATACGTAACGCCTATCCTATTCCTTTAATTACAGAACTTTTCGATAGATTAAAAGGGGCGACTATTTTCACGAAATTGGATCTGAGGGGAGCATACAATCTAGTCAGGATTAAAAAAGGGCACGAATGGAAGACTGCTTTTAATACTCGCTATGGTCACTACGAGTATCGGGTCATGCCATTCGGGTTATGTAATGCCCCAGCAGTCTTTCAAGACTTCATTAATGGTGTTTTAAGGGAATATTTACAGATGTTTGTTATTGTCTACTTAGACGATATTCTAATCTACTCCAAGAATATTAAAGACCACCATACTCACGTTAGGTTGGTTCTTTCTAAACTCTTAGAAAATGGACTTTACTGTAAGTTGGAGAAATGTCAATTTGATAAGGACACTGTGCATTTTCTGGGCTATATAATTTCAGGGTCTGGATTTCAAATGGATAAGAAAAAACTAGAAGCTATCCTTAATTGGCCCCTGCCCGTTGGACTCAAAGCCATCCAACGCTTTCTAGGATTTGCCAATTATTATAGAAAATTTATTAAGGGTTTCTCCTCTATCACTGCACCTATCACTGCCATGACCAAAAAAGGACGAAATTCTATGGAATGAAATCTCGAGGCCAAGGAAGCTTTTGAGAGACTTAAATTGGCTTTTTCTTCTGCACCGGTGTTGAGGCATCCCAATCCCTCTCGTCCTTTTATAGTAGAGGTGGATGCATCTGAAACCGGTATTGGTGCGGTGCTATCTCAACGTCCATCTGATGATCAACCATTGCATCCCTGTGGATTTTTTTCTAAGAAATTAACTGAGACAGAAAAGAGATATGACATTGGGGACAGGGAATTATTGGCTATTATCTCTGCTCTCAAGGAGTGGCGCCATCTGTTAGAAGGGTCAACCATTCCCATCACCATCCTTACGGATCACAAAAACCTTTCGTATTTTGGAGAAACTAAAAGAATGTCAGACAGGCAGATTAGATGGTCTTTATTTTTAACACGATTCAATTACATAGTAACTTACAGACCAGGATCAAAGAACACTAAGGCTGACGCCTTATCCCGTCAACATGAACACTTATCACCTACAGTAACTCATTTTTCTTCCATAATCCCATCCAACCACATAATCGCCACCGTCCATGCCAAAATCTCTTCAGGGTTAATGGAGGAATTATCTAGGTTTCAGGATCAGACCTCATTGACTGTTCCCAGGGGAAAATTATACGTACCCTTGGCTTATAGGAAAAAGGTCTTATTCCTTGTACACAACTCCAAATTGGCAGGGCATCCAGGCATTCACAAAACTGAGTCTTTACTCGAAAAACAGTTTTGGTGGCCTTCATACAAGAAGGACGTTCGTGAGTTCATTCTTGCTTGTAGGGTCTGTGCCTCCACGAAGTCATCTAAAGGTCGTCCTTTGGGCCTCCTTTTGCCATTGTCCATTCCCGATAAACCCTGGTCAAGTATTGCTATGGATTTTATAGTGGACCTACCTCCCTCCAGGAATCATAGGGTTATATTGACTATAATCGACAGATTCTCTAAGATGACTCATCTCATCCCACTAATCAAATTGCCGTCCTCTTCTGAACTGGCCTCTTTATTTATAAAAGAGGTAGTGCGTTTACATGGCATACTTCAAGATATTACTTCTGACAGGGGTCCACAGTTCATTTCACGGTTCTGGAAGGCATTTTGTGACCAATTAGGTATTATCCTTAACCTTTCTTCTTCTTACCATCCCCAATCTAATGGGGTTACGGAAAGGATGAATCAATGCCTGGAACAATACATCCGCTGTTTCACTTCTGAGCACCAAGACGATTGGGTGGAACTGCTTCCATGGGCTGAATTCGCCCATAATAATCTGATGCACGAATCCACTCAACATAGTCCCTTTTTTATTAATTATGGTTTTAATCCTACAACTTTGCCGAGTTCTTTTTCATCTACAGGAGTGCCTAGTGTTGACAGCACTCTTAACAATATGAAAGAAACTTGGTTAGGGGTTAAACATATCTTAACTCAAAAGACTCCGATTCAAAAGAATAATGCGGATAGACGACGCAGGACTGCTCCTACGTTCGTAGCAGGTGACAGGGTTTGGTTGAGTACCCGCAACATAAAGTTAAAGGTACCCTCGATGAAATTCGCTCCCCGTTTCATAGGCCTGTTTCAAATACTCAAACGCATCAATCCAGTCTGTTATAGTTTGAGATTGCCAAATACTATGAAGATTCCTAACGCTTTTCATGTTTCCCTTCTCAAACCTTTCATTTGTAATCGTTACACTCGGAATATCTCCACTCCTCCTGCCGCACCCGTAGAGGATCATGTTGAATACGAAGTTAAATCTATATTGGATTCCCGGATTTCTCGGGGTAAATTGCAATATCTCCTTGATTGGAAAGGGTACGGTCCCGAAGAACGGTCATGGGTGGATGCATCTGATATACACTCCCCTCGTCTGGTTCGTCTGTTTGAGAGGCGGCGCTTTTGTGGGTCTGGTTCCGCCCACCCTGTGGGCGGTTCTCGAGGGGGGGTACTGTAACGAGCGCTTACCTTTCCCCGCCGGTCCCGCGCAGCGCCGGGTCCTCCTCCGATACTTCCGGGGGGCGGCTCAGCTCTCCTGACGCCGGCCGCTCGGAACACGCCCACCTTTATGACGCGGCGCATGCGCGCCGACGTCAGAAAGAAAATGCTGCCAAAATTCAAACGTGGCCACGCTCCCGGACTTTTTGGGGGCGTGGCTACAAAATTAAAGCCAAAGAACCCACACTATAAAAGTGCTATCATAACACTTGTCAGATGCCCTAGTGTGGTTCTTGTTTAAAGTCCCCTGGTGCTATTGTCTCTGTTTGTCCTTCTTGGTAATTGACCCTTGGCTATCTCTCCGACTATTCTGTTTTCTGGTTTCCCGTTACTTGGCTTGGATAATCGTGTGCACGTCTTCCGTATTCCCTTAACCTCTGGCTATTCCTTTGACTATTCTCAGACGCTAGTCCGGCCATTCTAAGGTCCGGTAACCGTCTTTCTGTGGGTTTCACGCTGTGTGAAGGGGTCACTGTTGTGACATTGGTCACTGTCGTGGCAACAAGAGAGGGTTGGGGTAGGGTTAAGGGTTGGGGTAGGGTTAGTGGTTGGGGTAGGGTTAGGGTAGGGTTAGTGGTTGGGGTCGAGGTAGGGTTAAGGGATGGGGTAGGGTTAGGGTAACCATAACCCTATCCCTAACCCTACCCCTAATCCTAAACCAACCCTAACGTAACCCTACCCCTATCTCTAACCTATCACTACCCCTGACCTTACCTCTACCCCTACCCTAACCCTACCTCTAACCCTACCCCTAACCTTACCCCTAACCCTACCCTAAACCAACCCTACACCTACTCTAACCCTACCCTAACCCTACGCTAAGCCTATCCCTACCCTAACCCTAAACCAACCCTAACCCTACCTTAACCCTAACCCTAACCCTACACTTACCCAAAGTCCTGAAGTTCCGAAGTTACAAAGTCCCGAAGTGCCGGAGTTCCGAAGTGCCGAACCAAAGAGCTGAAGTGGCGAATTTCGGAATGCCGAACCGAATAATTTTCCCATGCACATCTCTATCTGGTGGTAAGTAGGCAATCCAGTATATTATTAGTGGCACTAATCTCTAATTCACCTCACATTAAAAGGACACTATAGTCACCAGAACCACTACAGCTTAATGTAGTGGTTCTGATGTCTATGGCCTGTCCCTGCAGGCTTTTTAATATAAACACACTGCCTTCCTTAGAGAAAAGACACTGTGTGCAGCACTGGTGTTGACTCATATGGCAGATCATATGGGTGGGGCATTGTGATGTCACAAGGTGGGCAGAGCATATGGGGGGGGGCAAATTTTTGTTTGGCTAGGGTGGCAAAAATCCTTGCACCAGCCCTGTGCATATGTTAGCCTGAATTATTCAGATTTAAAATATTTACTTGCCTGAAGTTTGCCCTAGATTTACTGTTTCCCACTATGACCACTATTCTGTCCCAGAATGCAATGCAAGGCACTGCGTGAATTAACATTTATGGAATAAGCTGTATACTTAGGTGACAAATCTCCCTGACCTGCAAAGTTTCATTCAAACTCTATTCACCAATTTGGCTCTAACAATATATTCAATTAAAATGTTATTATGTATATCACTATGCTGCAATAGTTTATGTGTTATTGATATAGTCACATAGACTTAAAATCCACCGTGTTATGGCATAGGTGCTATATGTGATTATATTCCCTATGTATATAAACTTTTTTTTTAATGCTTCAGACCTGAGTTCAGAACTCAGCGCATCCATCCCATTTCCATATGTAGACATAACTGATATCTGCTTTTGTCACCCTCAGGCAAACAAAACCAAAGAAAAAAACATGTGCACATCAAATGCCCAGGGCAGTCAATGGGAAGAGCAAACAACCTCTACTGTGAGTCACATCCCCAGTATCTTTCCTTATTCTGAGCTGTGGTTTGATGGATGAGATAAAACTTGAACAGCAGGCTGGACTATATCTTATTAACCCCTCTCTTGCAGTGACGCAGACAATGTGCTGCAGGGTGAGACTAGAAAGGTTCGCAATTAAATGTTCATTGGGCAGACTTTCATCTTGGCAAGGACAGAATACTGTCCAGACAAATCATTATATTGAAATAGGACGTCAGTGCTGCACCCGTGTCTTCAATCAGAAGGTAAGACCTGCTTTTATTCCATCCAGTAATTATTACTTACCAGGGTATCTCTTGTTCTGACACAGCAATGAAATACAAAAAATATTGCGCATGGTTATAAAATTTGGTAGAAAAATTTAAGCCGTTAAGGAAGACTCAATAATTTTATAGAGGAAAAATATCAATTCAATTCAGATTTGTGTAATTAGATATTTGAGAACAAGTATTATAAAAATAAAATCTTGAAGTTTGATATTACATATAGCTAGATTACCAGATTAATCCTTAATATGTGGGTGTATTAAGATATAATAAACTTGTAAAATGCTTTAGTAAAATTTTTCTTAAGAGAATATTTTTAACATTTGTTCCTGTGCTTGTTATGAATGGATTAAGATCGCATGGTTTTTTGTGTCCACGAAGTGAATGTGTATATATAACAATTGTAAATTTTCAGTGGTTCCGTGTATCGTACAGAACACTGATATTCAATTGGGAACAATTTGTAGCATGTTAATGCTTTATTTGTTTTAAATACTTGTATAATAATTTATTTTGTATCCTTAATAATATAATTAAAACTCAAATCTAAATGTAACAAAGTGTACATTAAATTTAAAAAAAACTTACGTTTTATACTAAAATAGGTTTTAATGTTTTTTTGTTTGTTTTCTTGTTGGAGCTTTACAAACCCACTAAACCATTGCAGGTTGTAAATTTGCTGGATTTTACCTTACATTTTATTTTAAAGATATAATGATACCTCAAAGGGACTCTGATCCCTAACACATGTGCATGACAGAATCAGATTCAGGGAGTTATATACATTATTGCTGTCTAAAGCAATGAATGTTATGCTTACTTTAAGGTGGCGTATGCCTTCTCCAAAATGATTGTGGCAAATGAATACAAGTGTTTGCATGCGTTTTCCCTAAATAATCTACATAAATACATTCATTTTCTAGTGGGCATTGTTGTAGCTTTTCTGCAGCTGTGTAGCTTGGCACACTTGGTAGAAAAAAAAATCTACAAATCTATACGATGTAAAAAAAGTATCATCTATACATTTTCAAGGAATATAGACAGAATTCACAACAAACAAGCCTCTGTCATATTAGTTATGATAAGAAGGTAAATCACAATGAAGCAAGTTAAATTATGGCACTTGCATATCATACATTTTGGACACAACAGGCAATAAAAAAGAAAGCAGGAGGTGACAGACTCAAATTTGGGATTTTCTCATTAAATATCAAACTATAGCAAATTATAAGTCAATATTAAAAAATTAGGCTAAAAAAATTATATGGAAAATATATGCAATTCAGCTTTAATCATATTTTTCATCGGTTTTGATTTCACTACAATGTACTGTTTAGTTAAATTGTTAGTCCAATTTAAAGGAGTACTATAGTGAAAGGAAAACAAACTTGTTTTCCTGGCACTATAGGGTCATTAAGCCCCTCCCCCCTCCCCCCCACCCTCAGGGCCCCCTCCCGCTGGGCTGAAGGGGTTAAAACCCCTTCAGCCACTTACCTTTCTCCAGCGCCAGGCTCCTTCTGTGCTGGGGAACTCTCCACTTCCTGCCAATGCCAGATTCGAATGCACATGCGCGGCAAGAGCCGCGAGCAGATTCAGACAGCCCATACAAAAGCATTACTCAATGCTTTCCTATGGACGTCCAGTGTCTTCTCACTGTGATTTTTAGGGAGACAGCCACTAGAGGCTGGATTAACCCTCAGTGATAGCATGTTTTCAGCTGCAGGGTTAAAACTAGAGGGACCTGGCACCCAGACCACTTCATTGAGTTGAAGTGGTCTGGGTGCCTATAGTGGTCTTTTAAGAATAGAGCTAGAATTCAAACCAAGCAGGGTTATTTACTAGTGAGAATTGATAAGAATTCAAACTGAATTTCCCATATTATAAAATGTCTCCAATCAATCCTGTTTTCACTTATATTCCTAATTCTATAGTGTTTTATGAACTATTTAGATAACCGTCACCCTAAACTAAATGGAAAAAAAACAACACATTTATTTACCTTATATCCCCAGATGCGCAGGCCTTCATGCAGCTGTCCTGCCTCTGCTAGCTGAGCAGTTCAAACTTGATTATCTTAGCCAATTCAATGCTTCCCCTTAGGGCTGATTATGTACTCATGCTGTACTGCCTAGGGACAGTTCCCTGTGCTCACCTGGAAAATCTCTGCACTGTACCAGTCAGCATCACCTCAGAGAGATCCACTGAGTCAATGCATCTCTATAAGGAGAGTTCAGCATCTACTAACAGGGTGTGGAAGATCAAAACCAGGAAGCCACTCTAGCGAATATTGCATCTCTATAAGGAGAGTTCAGCATCTACTAACAGGGTGTGGAAGATCAAAACCAGGAAGCCACTCTAGCGAATATTGAAGCCACTAGAGGTGGTGTTCGTCATGAGAGTAAAAATTGCCTTTTCTCAACTCTATGCCCCAGAACTACTACATTATGCTGTAGTGGTGCTGGTGCCTATAGTATTCCTTGAAATTTGAAATCCACTTTGAATTCCTTGTAATTCTCACTTTAATGAATAACTGGTTGGTGACTAGATAGTTCACAGATGAGAATTAATTTATGTCAGCCCCTTTTCTGTGATACAATGCTTAGTTCCTGAATTTCTATTCACTATGAATTGTAGTAAAATGAAATCCAATCCCATAATTTGTACAAGCACTCAGATCCCTGACCAGTCCGCACAAATCATTTGAATGCAAATCGCACACCTGTATTTATTCTGTATGATGTTGTATATTTACATACTGATAATTTATTTTCAGTGAAGCTGGTTTTATACTGTAAAATGTATTTAAGTAAAAATAAACTAAATGTGTTTTGCAGATATATTACATATTAAATGAGCAGTCTAAGCACTTTAACCACTAAAGATCAATGTTGTATGTGTTATGGTGCAAAAAGGGTTTCATTCCAAATTGTTATTAAAGTTTGTCATTTGAAAAAAAACATACCTCCCAGCATTGAGCGGTATGGATTTAGTATGGGTGAATCCTCAGGTGGCATCAAAAGTGACATATCTTGTCTCATAGGTGACACCCAAAATGAGTGGACATGTCCAGAAAGTGGGCGTCCCCGACCATTGAGGGGGCATGTTGGCTTTGTGCCAGGCATGACAGGATGACAGAGAGCGTCTCTGGTCAGCCCCCAACGAAAACATGCAGAAAGCGCTGCTGTAGCACTCTGTTCATCATGGTCTTAGTGCATCCTCCAGCGCAGTAGAAGATAGCTAAGTTAGGCAACGCAGAGGGTGGCTAAGATAGAGTGTTGTGGCAGTGATTTTCTGTATGTGCAATTGTGTTAACTGTCCATGTGAGTTGAGTGTGAGTGCATTTGTTTCTGTTAGTGTGCATTGGGGTCAGGGTCGAATATCCCATTATGCAGTGTAGACACCTGCCTAGAGGCACCTGACCATCTGTTTTTAGTACTTATAGTGTGCTTTTTACAGCTTTAATAGGCTTGTGGGGAGAGATAAGTACCAGATGCCTTGGTCAGTGTCCTTTGTAGTCCAGTCAGCTTTAATAGCAGAAACAGTTATAGATGGTGTGAAACCCAGTGCTGTCCCAGCTCCTCCAATGTCTGTGTGTGAGGCTGGACAGGAAGAGGACAGGATCA